TAACCATTGGGAATCTCCACAGATCTTTTTCCTCCAACATTCAAGAAATGGCCTTCCGCGGTGCTGATCTTAGAGCGGCAGCTTTCTTCTAAATTGTCTGCTAAGTTTCTCAAACCCCTGACATGTTTTGATTCGCCACTATTGATGAATCACTCTTGGTTGCTCGCCAGGTTCAGTTCAGTGAAGTTGATAGCAAGGCCTGGTTTGCCGTCACTTCCCTCCTCATCTTCGCTGCTCAGTAAGTTGTCGATCGTGATGTTGGTGAGGTTGATTGATGGCGTAGACTTTAATCTACGAGCCTTGTGATTCTTGATCTCTAAAGCCATGTGTGGACAATTTTGCATCCAGTGTTACTTCGATTCATAGTAGTGGCAAACACAGTTCTTTTTTGTTTTGACTCTGGCGTTTTCTCCTCTAGGACTGAAAAGGCGGTTGATGGCTTCGGATTTCTTGTTACCACTCTTGATGAACAGAGCTTCATTTTTGACACGTTTGATTCCTCTGAGCTCTCGACGGATGTCATCTTGCATGAGGATTACTGTAAGCTCTTAAGCAGTGGACAATGCAGGTGGGTATATTAATGTATTGACAAGTCCTTCGTAAGACTCGGGAAGCGTTATTAGGACGTGTTCAACGACCTCATCATCGGTGATTTTCAAGCCGATGCATGCAAACTTGTTAAACAGTTTTTTCAGGTGCTGCAAAAACTCAGACATTGAGCTATCCTCTTGCATCTTCAAATTTATCAGCTTCCTACTCAGCAACAACTTGCGTGAGTTAGAGTTGTTGGCATAAAAAACTTTCAGAATCCTACAACACTCATTTGGTTTCGTGATGTTGAAGATGTAAGATATGACGTTATCTTTCACTAACAGTGCGATCATTGTCAAGGCCTTGTTCTTCTTTAGCTGCAGTGCCGCAATCTCAACTGGAATCGTTGGTGCTACAATACCTGTAGGTGGGTCAACAAGCCTCCATGTATCTTCTCCGCTAAGCATGTTCCTCATTTGAAAACTCCAGACGTTATAGTTAGGGTTTCCTTTCAACTTGGAGGAATCTTCCATGGGAACATCTCTCGAAGCCATTCTAACTTGTTTGACTCTTACACACCTTCTGGAACTGCTTCTATTGTTTGACAACTAGCTTGTTGGTGCTTCTAAAGTGTTGACTAATCTTACAAGACTTCAAGGAATTAGACTAATAACTAAGTGTGAGAACTCGCTCTAATATCATGTATAGATTCAAAGTTCAGTCTGACCGATAAAAACATATAACATTTCAGCTTTGGTCTTGGCCATATATACAAAACAGGGGGTTCAACCTAACGCTAACCTAATCTCACTATCATTGCTAGCTAAGATACTGATAACGGCGTAGTGGGTCACATTGCTCCAAAACGGCACTTAATAGTTTACCGCACCTGATACGCCTTTAGTATTGTACCGCAATCTAGGTGGTAGTGTGAGCTATTGATATCACCAACACGAATGTCATCCAAAATAGGTGATGAGCAGCATACTTCTAAAATAGGTGCCAATTAGTGATTATGCATGTGACTTTGGCCACCAGCAATCTATCTATGCAAACACAATCGGAAGCAACAAGCTGAAGACGGACAACCTAAACGCTTCTTCCCACCGCAGTCAGGCTGAGGTTGGCAAGTGACTACTCCGATGCTAACTTTGACATCCATGTATGATTTGCTTTGGAAGTACAAAGATGGAGAAATATAACTTTCAAGAGTCAAAGCACATGAAGCTTACATTGGCGCATTGAAGACTACTTGGATCATAACACTCTCATGAGACTAAAAGGCTGCATAGGAGTGAAAGTGGGAATAACAATGACTGCACAATCAGTCCAGTTGAGTCAGATCGTTGATGATGTCTCTTCGTGCTCGTTTGTTTCATCACATCATCACATGACGCTAAAAGATGTTCAGTTACATGTTTCCAGTTGGAGCGAGGCGAGCGCCAACTATTGTGATTGTACGCCTGATTATGCACAAGGGTCTAGATAGCTATGTGATTTGTAGCCCAGTTACTTCTGATCATGTTTTCAAACTTGCTTTCTTGCACTCCACACTCTCTCTATTTGAAGAATAATGACATAATTGTTTTATGCCTTAGCAAATGAAAGTTGATAAGAATCAACACAACCACTATCCACAACATGTGCTTCAACTAAACGATCACTCTTTCTAAAGATTAATCATTCATGTTGATGGTATGTTAAAATCAAATCATGTACTTGCGTACACACTCGTATGAGTGCTGTCGAAAAAGAGTTATAAATATCGTGGATTGAAAAAGATTTATATATATGTATATATCATTTTATTTGATTTTGTGATTTTATTCAAGATGACTCAATCATGGATATCATCATGTCGGAGTCGTGATTGTTGCAGACATTCGTTTATTTAAGACATTGAATATGTCAAAACATGTGATATTTTCCATATCGTGAAGGGGATGCCAATTCTTGGAAATGATCTCTGCTTTTTACGTCGTGAGAGGTCGAAACTCCCCATTGCTCGTGAAGCTCGGATGATTTCGATCATTCACAAAAATTCACAAAAAATGGGGGTGGTATCGGCTTCTTACGTCGTGAGAGGTCGAAACTCCCCATTGCTCGTGAGGCTCGGATGATTTTGATCATTGACAAAAATTCACAAAAAATGGGGGTGGTATCGTCTTATCCATATGTATCTATATGTATCTACAAGTGTTTATACTTCCATTTTCTAATTTTGCATATTTTGTTGTAGTGGTAGTGGTGATAATGTGTCATCTCGAGTATAATACCACCCCAATCCCCAACATGCACTCACGCACTTGCCATATACATGAATCAAAATGCATATGTCGCTTCACTTATGGTTTTAATACGGCAGAAACGTGCCACGTGTCGTTACCTCGGAGCCCCTATGACCCAAAAACATCAATTGTTTTTTATTTTTTATAAAAAAATTTTAAACAATCTCATTAAAAATATTCATATATAAAAATATATTAACATAAAAATATCCAATATACATGCATATATCATTTTATTTGATAATTGTGATTTTATTCATGATGGCTAAGTGATGGATATCATAATGTCGAAGTCGTGTTTGTTGCAGACATTCGATTGTAAGAGACGTTGAATATGTCAAAACATGTCATATTTTCCATATTGTGAAGGTGATGCTGATTCTTCACAATGACCCGACTTCTTACATCGTGAGAGATCAAAACTTCCCATCGCATGTAAGGCTCGGATGAATCTGATCATTCACAAAAAATTCACAAAAGAGTGGGGTTGGGATCGTCACATCCATCTATATGTAGCATGGAGGTGGGTCATAAGGTCTCAGAGGGAACAACATGTGGCACGTTTCAACTGTATTATAACCTTGAAGGAAGCTACGGAGGGGTTTTGATGATATATGGCAAATCTGTGAGATTTATGTTTAACTCACGTTCTTGGATAAATTCTAGTGAATTAAATCTAGCTAGTTGTTGACACTAGGTGCCACTATATATTATGGTAGACGCGTTATTTTTTTTCCGTTGAAACTTTAAATACGTGAATTTTTCATGGAAGTAGCTCTTGAGCTTGGTATGAACCAAGTACATTGTGTTGTCTCGTCTGGATGATTTTTTGCGCTTTACTATCTTGTGTGTTTATGAGATTTACAATTGTAAGTTCTCTAATTTACATATGAAAGTATTTCTAACTAAAAATTAGATTATATGTTTCTTCCAAGAAATTTGTATTTCAGATAATATTACATTTTATTAATATTTTGTTTCATTGCAATCTCAAATTTGGATTTAATATTTATTTTTATAAAAAAATGAAGATTCAAATTATGTATCATGTATTTAATATGATTAGATTTTAAATTTAAGTGAAAAATATTTAAAAATAGTAAATATGTAATTTGTGATAGAAAAAATTTAAAACTTATATGTATTATAATAATATTTAGATTGAAATTAGTAAAATATTATCTTAAAATAAAAAATATATATTACATCGAAAGAATGATTAAAAAAGTTGACGTATTTTATTTTCATGAAAAATGTTTTCAAAAACTTTGCACACTCTAAGATTTACGATTGAAAAAAGTTACTAACTGAAGATGGTTACAATTGTGGTTGTAAATGAAATCATATTATGAATGATATTTTGAGCAAGAAATTGACTACTAATGGCCATGTATTAGTTTTGGCCTCTATGGCATACATTTGTACACAAACTGATGTTTAGAAAACACTATCAACTCTATGATGATCTACTATCAAATCCAACATATCAATCACAAACTATTTAAGTCTGAACTTTGAACTATCAAAGCAGGTTTCAGATCCCTATTTATACAAATTAAAGTCCTGTAACCACAATGAATTTCCTATATATGCTGTAATTTAATGTGGAGACTTGAATTGAAGCAATTTTTTGTCTGGAATTTAAGAAAATCTGATGAACATTTCGTTGATTTGGAAAGGTTAATGAACTTTAGGCACTGAAATATGTTTTTCTTGTCGTGTGTTTGTATGTATCTTATACATGATAAGATCTTCCACACAAGCAAACAAAGATGTAAACGTAGAGGAAAATGTAAGAGTAAATAGCATTGCTTCCTCCACAACCTGTTGGTGGAGATCTATTCTTATAATCATGCCATAAGTGTAGTGTTTGTCTGATAGTGAAGCTCTATTGTGGTAAATAATCATCTTCAAGTAGCTCGGGGCTTTTAAAAAAAAGGATGGAGAGCACCACAATAACCTTAAGAAACACGGTAGATAGACCGGAATAGGAACTGAGGAAAGAAAGTGTTGAAGATGTTCGAAGGGAAATATTATTATATCATCGAAGACTCAGGAATCAGAATCGGGCGAGGGCACGCGTGGCATGGACGAGATTGCGACGCACGGTATCTGGGAGAGCTGCTCTTCTGCACGCTCTTCTTCGAGCCTGCGCTGGTCGCTCTCTCGGGGAACAATATCGACGAAGCGGGAGGGAGGGAGGGAGGGAGGTAGGGGTCGGGAGGGCACTTTGGCTCGTTCCATGCGATGAGTAATTTTCGAGGTGGTGGTGGTGGTTGGTTCCCGAAACTGTGAACTTGAACTGTCACGAAATCGAAGACTTGCGTGCGGGCTCCAATTCTGCCGATCAGGACAGGTTTCGTCACTTGGATCCGATCCGCGAGGAGGTTTCTCTGATGCTTTGGGTGGATTGGCGACTGTGAATTGCTGATGGCATAGGCAGAAGAGTTTGGAGGTTGAGTGCCATATTGTTTGCGGAGTCGATGAGATGGGAGCAGCTGTGACTATGAATAGTTGTATTGCTTCGAGAACGGAGCGCCAGTGGATGGAGAAGGTAGTGCCGAACAGAATCGCACGAACAGGATTTCTTCTCTGTGTTCTGCTGCCGCTCATAACGCTTTTGTTAGCTTCAGGTACTCTCTCAGTCTCATTTACTCCCGATGGGTTAGATTCCTCCCCCTCAACGCATTTGTGTGCGTGCGTTTGTCTGGACTCAAAGAGTCCTAGCTGCTATTGGTGTGTTGTCCATCTACTGATTTTAATTGCGGTCGATCGATGCTGCGGCGGTGAAGATGCCGCGTTGATAAACCTCTTCTTTATTCTGCATGGGCAACGGGGAGGTATTTGCAGGAGTTTAGTTTCATTGTAATGAAGGAACGAATTGTACTAAACTCTGCATGGATAGATTGCTGATCGAGGAGCACCCGGTGATTTCCAGGTTGAATTTCTAGTTCAGTGACTGTCTTAGTCGTAGAAGACGACGGAATGATTAAACCTTTTGTCTGTAACAGGTTCCAGACTCTTGTTTTTGTTTGTTTGTTTTCTTACAGAACACAATGGGAACCGAACGAAAGAGTTTGCCCTTTTTTGTTCTTCTTTGTGTGGGCATGTCATCTTTACACACACAATCTCCCCGTGCCGGTGTTAATGTGTAATAAACTTCTAGGAGTGTCACAGATTTTTTGACTCAGTTTCTGTCAGATTTCACTCTGTACAATGCTTTACTCAGAACTTTTTGATGGGGCTATCTACAACTGATGCAATTCTTACTATTATCATTGCTTCAAAACTAAGTTTGGATTTGGAGTGGATTAGATACTGCTTGTCTACTTCTCGAAATATGAAAAAAAATATTGTGTACAGCGAGAACATGCCCCACACATCACCTATGCACGGGCATTATTCCTCATCATGCTTGAACACCTGATTTTTCCCTTCAGGCGTAGGAGCAGATGGCAATGTTACGGTGGAGTCGATTATTCTCTTCAAAACACATGAATGGTTTGGACGGAAGCCAACAGTGTACTTTCAATGTCTGGAAGAGCAGAAAGTGTATCTACCAGATGTTGTTGAAAAAAACGCCCAGTACTCTTTTTTGGGTCAAGAATCATGGCAGGTGAGAAAGTATGAGTCTCAAATGTGTCTTTCTGCTTTTACAGATGTTCATCCGTACCTTTTAGAGGACTGAGTCGATGAACATAGTTTATAACGCTTCTATGTTAAGTACTGGATTGACTGTTCCTTGAAGTTCCTCATGATTTACGACGAGCTACTACATTGTGTTACCGCCACATGAAATCTACATTGTATGGTACACGCACTCCATCTAGGATCTTGCTTGAAAGCAATTGTACTATGTTCAAAGTTTCAGTCAGAGCTTTTTCCCAAATCGAAGTCGCTAAAGTATCATCTGCTTTTTGGGATTTCTTTCCTCAAATTGAGATGGTTGTCAGACAGCAACTTCCACTTTGATTAACTCACACTGTCTTTTCCATCCTCCTTGATGTCAGCCTCTGACAACGCTCTATGGAGCTAAGTGCAAGCGATGTGGAATTTACGAGGAAGATACTGTGAAGGCAGATGATACCTTCTTCGAGTGGGAATTGTGCCCTAAGGCGTTTACCTCTCCAGACGGTCGATATGAAGTCATTCAGGAGAATGAGTTCAACGCAACATTTATATGCAAGGATTGCATTCCACAGAGTGAGTTGTCTATGCATCAAAAGACTTCAATTGTAGACTGTTTTTCAGTTGTCTAAGTTGGACGATGTAAACTGTGATCCGCTTGGTATGTCTTGTGATCGAATTGGCTTTGGGTTACTTGCCTTGAATATACACCGAGTCCATGTTACCAAGTAGTTCAAAATCGGGTAAACATTCACTTCAAGTTGATGACGGTCATAACACGAAAGCGAATAAACATAGAAAACTCCCATATATGGAGGAAAGTTTTATTGATATGTGATTCCATTTCAGTCATATTGATCTTAGACTCCATCTACTACTAGGGTGGAGCAAGAGATGTGCGAGATGGCATAATTCAATGCAGATTATGGAGTTTGAACTGAGACAGCAACTGCCCATATCTGTACCCGCTTTCCCTGCTCCAGTATCTGGTATCGAAACTTATCCTGGTTGTGCACCTTCTACTCTGACCTAGGGCAATAAGGAAAACAAAGAAGACTTATACCAGACACTAGTATGAGCTTATCTAGAGTAATCAAAGGTTAAGGATCCACGTAATTTCAAGCCACCTATCGTAAACTGCGTTCACAGAGCTTGGAACTGCATGGATATAAACTTCTATAGTTCTTCCGGACCTTCTTCCTGTATAACTCAGATAACCAGTTCAATAGCTAAACGACTCTATTTCGTACAGCGCCTGATGTTTCCATCTTTACTCCTCAACACTTCCAGCCGCAGAAATGATGTTTCTGGTTTCTTCTAATTGATTGTCATTCCTCTGCTGCATGCCAGCTCTATGTTTGTTCGCTCGAGTTTATTTAAAATACTGGCAGTAAAATGTTTTTTTATCATCTCTTTCTTTATTTTCAAACCATATTCTTTGGGGGACATTCACAACGATAGGCTCACGCTGCTCGTCTTGCCTCGGAACCCGAGTTATAAGCAACTCAAGTTTGATGATACCAAAGATCCCTGGACAAGGATGAGTCATGGCAGCATTCAAGTATAATGCTGTCGTACTAATGACGGGTGTTGAGTTGTGTTGTTGTCCGGATCGTTTTTTCTTCAAAGGAGCCATCATCCTCAAGTGTAACTCGTTTCTTTACTTGTTTGAACCGGAGCGACCTCAACCGGAAGGGATCATTGCATGACAGTTCTGCAGTCATAGCAGAACTTTTACGAATTGCATACAGAACAAAGACTCCAGCTATTCGTGGTCACGATTACGAATATTGCTGGTCATTGATCAGTATAGAGAACTGTTAAATCGAATCTGAGCACTTATGTACTGGACATTATGACCCTGTTTTCAAGAAACGGAACTGTGGGTTAGATCTATTGTATTTCAACGTCTGCTCTTCAGGTTGAAGTGAGTCATCCGATACTCATTAGGAAAAAGACATCTCCTTATAGCATTTCTCTTTTAACTCTTGCAGGTACAGATGGGCAAGCTGTCAAAACAGAGAGCGAGGAAGACGAGGAGAAAGATGAGAAAGGAGCAGGGCTCGCTTTTCTGATCATTGTTCTTGTGTTCGTTGTTCTAGTTGGACTTGGAGTAGTCGCCTACACCAAATGGCGGCAAAAGCAAAGAGCTGAGCAGCAAGCAAACTTCATCAAATTGTTCGAAGATAAAGATGATGATCTTGACGAATTATATCACGACCATCTGTGATATATCTCTTCCCGTTCTAAACTTGGTAAATCCACCCGTGATGAGGTTTAGTATCAAGGTTTCTAACATGAATCAGATACAAGAAAATGAGTTTTGCTTTCGAAGACATGAATTTCGGGTTGGAAGTGTTAGTGGGATCGCCTGATGTGTCCGTGGGATCATGTCAAGTGGTGAATACTTGTACAGAAGTGCTGTTCAGATCCATAGAATCACTCTCTAACGCTATAACTTTGTTCCTGCCTCTTACCGCCTATGGTAAGCCGTTTTTGAGCTATTGTTGCAGCTATTACACTTTCATTGTAAGATATATTTCGTCACAGGCTTCGTCTGTTGAGAATGCACACTTCCCGACTGAGTGTTTGAAATTGGAATGTCGATAGAGTCGAAGCACAATACACGGATATCATGGTCGAAGTAATCACTCAGCATATTAGAGATTTGAGTTGTTTATTACATCTTGGAAATTGGTTTTTCAGAGAGTCACCGTAGGCGGTGACTCGCTGAAGGGGTCCATAAATTTGTTGGTTGTGAGTTACGTCAGTACTCGTCCCTCATGATCCACCATGAATTTCAATTGTTATAAAAATACCATGTGTCTTGAATCCTTGACAGCTCAATGTTTCGTTATTCAGTGGTGTCAACCTTTTAAGTGTATAGGCAGTCTTTCAGTAAGATCTGCATTTCCTAGTCCTCTGCGCCATGTAGCTAAACATCATTCTTGGTGTGTTTGTCTGTTAAGTCTTGCACAAGTTGATCCGTTCCTGAATTTGTAAGTGGACTTATCAAAGCCCCTTCCGATGATCACTTTGTGCAAGATTGCTACTTTTCGATCCACTCGAACTTCCTGCTTTTTTCTCAGCGTGAAGTCGTGCTTTCTCTTTCGCCCACAGGCGTGCTTTCCAACCAAGCCTGATTCACAGCTGTACCCCACCAGTTGTGAGCTGTTATGTATTAAGAAGGCCGTTTGGTTGGTATGGTTGACTGGTCGGTACCTGTTCAGTAAATGAATTTGGAACACCAAAATGTGGTATAAGGACGCGCAACACTTTCTGTACGGTCAATTGGAAGGTAGTTTCACTGGGTTGCCTGAATTTTTGGGGGCGAACGCGTGGGTTCTGGATAGGAATCACCATCTCGCGCTTCATTATTTTACCTCCAAATGGCTCCATGAAGTTTTCGATGTTCCCCGTCACTGGCGATCAAATTCTGGATTGACATAAGAGCAAAATGTTAGTCCTGGGAGAGTAAACTTATACGCATATGTCGCTCAAGGAAACAATTTCCTTTCCAGAACAAGTACCAAAATGACAAGATAACGTTTTCATCGATAATACTTTCAATTGGTGACGTAGAAGCTTTATAAATAAAACTCTGTCGTTCCACGATCAAGACCACGTACAGGTAAAATGCTGGTTAATAATTGGTTGACACTGCAGTGATAGTAATATTCCCGAATATATGAAATTGCCCGTTATACTTTACATCGTACTTTTTTGGCTACGCTTAGAGCTCGATGACAAATCTTCGTAGACATTTGCAATGGAGTAGACTGGTTATTAGGGCACTAGATTCACTATCAGCGCGTAAACCGCACCAATTGGCAACCACTAGTACTCCTTTGGATGCAACACTATCTCACATCCGATTTCAATCCGCGACATACGTGTCCGAAGATACGAAGTGAAATATACTTCAACGGTGGGAGGTCGAGCTGTCCACAGTTCTGAAACAAGGAGCTACGAACCGAAGGACTGAACAACCCAACATTGTAGCATGGTTGAAGTAGAATGTCCGAGACAAACACGACGGTTGCAATTGCGAATGTCAGATAGGTGAATTTGCACTGCAAATCGCCTTGTTCAGAATTTCAACTTCGCGGCGCAACCGAGGTGTGAAACCTGAGAAGGCGCACCGAGAATCAACAGCCTGGATATAGGCCTTAGAATGTACAAGGAGCTACTCAAAGAGAAAACCAGAGCACCCTGCATTTACAGACAGCACCGACAGAAATTCCCTGATAATGGTAAAATACACGTCTGTTTCTAGTGCGCAGAGCTGGGGCAAACAATCTTGCTCCCAAATCGGGTCGGGTCAGATCCGGCCCATCGTGGACAGCGAATGGACGTCCCATTTTTCTGAGTTCATGTTCCCAGGCACACATACGTTCCTCCTTCCTCCTTCCTCTGATGAAGATGTCGACTTCATGACGCCCGAATCATGAGACTGAGTCCAACCGGCAAGTGATAATTGCCTTCGCCTTCAAGGCCATCTATCAGACGGCCCATCGACACTTCGCTTCCCCCGACTCTACATTTCAAGGAAGAAATGAGACCTTCAAATTTGTGAGGCACTGTCGATGAACAAAGCAGGAAGAGAACCCGTTAAAGAAGTGGCAAAGGCGCTTGCCCCAAACTTTTCACCGGAAGTAGGGGATGTCCCACAAAATGAAGCGAGCAATGTGCGAGCAGGCGTTCGCTCATTCTCATCTAGCTGCGTTCGTCGTCATTCCCATGCGATCTCCGCCTGTAGCGTTTTCCACAGGAGCATGTCTAGATGTCCTCTCCCCAGCTCCGTGCTTCCGCTTCTGCCTCGAAGCGGTGGACGAACCTCTCCGTTCTCGGCTGGAAAGCGAATTTCTCCTTTGCAACTTTGTGTCGATCGGAGATGGGTCTGTGGTGTAGATAACAGCGTTACCGGGAATCAAGCTCGCATTGTAAGTGAGAGCCCTGGATCGTTCTTGAGACGGCCTGGAATGACTATCGCCTCCGAAAGCGCAAAAGATGCTCGTCTTTCGGTCTCCGTCCCGGTTTTCCCTATGCTCCACAAACGGTGATTTCGTTGGCTTCTCCAGAGCGAGACCGGTGTTTCTTACAGGCTTGAACGAGGGCGCGGACTCTGTAGAACTTACATGCATCATCTCCAGAGAAGTGCTGCGCGGCTGCAGCTGCAGTTGCTGCTCCTGTTGTTGTGGCTTCTGTTCATGCTGATTATCGTTCTTCGCTTCGTCGACGCTTCCGCCGATGAAACCGCTGCCGAAGGATATCAGCCGGCCTTGTTGCTCATCCTGCCGCTGGTTCTGATCCTTCTTCGGGTCTTCGTAACTTCCGCGAGGAAATCCACTGCCGAATGAGAGAAGCCCGAATTGTTGTTGCTGGGGCTGCTGGGGCTCGGGGTGGCGTTCCGGCTCCGGCAGGGGAAGTAGCTGCTTGTCGTTCTCCGGCTCGTCAAAACCACCGGCAAAGAAACCACTACCAAAAGAGACGAGAGATTTCTGCTGCTGCTCTGGCTGCTCCTGTGGTTCTGGCAGCTCTCGGCGCTCGCGAGGCTGCTGCTCGAGGCCGCCCTGGAGCAGTTGCTGGAGCTGCTGCGGCGATCTGCGTGGGGTTCGTTGGCCCCCGGAAACGGGTTGAAGGGGATTGGCATTGCCCGGCGCAGATCCAGTTCCGCCGGTTTTGAGAGTGTAAAGGAACATCGAGGGGATTTGCGGGCTGGGCGCCTGAACCTCAGTGCTGGCGTTCCGAAATGGGACCATTCTCATCGACGAATCCGCGACGGGCGCCTCCAGCGCTTCGATGCTGGCGGCGGCAGCGGCGGCGGCTCCAGTCCTGAAGCTGAAACTCCTCTCACCTAAATTCCTTTCGAATTCACGAAGCGCTTCGATCTGCTGCTTGAAATCTTCCTCCTTCATGTCAATGCCACCCTCGTCGAGACGAAAGTCCGACAGCAGCCTCTCCTCCTTCACATCCTCCATGAACGAGCTCTCCGCCTGCCATACAGACCCAGGCTCGAAGCCTCGAACCCAGTCCAACCAATTATTATCTTCCCCAGGAACTCTCCTCCTCCTGCTCGTCCTCTCCCGAACGGCGACCGCCTCCCCGTCCGCGGCTCGTGCATTCCACCCCGCAACCTCCCGCTCCCTCTTCGAAGCATCTTCGATCTGCTGCCCCACGCTGATCAGCGCGACCGCACACAAAGTGGTCGATATCAACAACGGCGAAAAGAACACGAGCACCGGGAAAAACGGCGGCGTGAACATCAACATCAACACTCCTGCGATCAGCGGGTGATCCCAGGCCAGCGCCAGAATCTCCATCAAATCCACGGGCAACGATATTCTCCCCATCTCTCTCTCCCTCCCTCCCTCTCTGATCTCTACCCAAATCCTCAAGCGCCCACACTCTGTACAGATCTCGATCGGCCGACCTCCTCCAACACCGAATTGCAGGCCTCGCCCACTTCCTTCTCCTCCTCCTCCTGCTCCTCGACCGACGGCGACTTATCGACTTCCGAATTATACGACGCAGCCTCGCCTCCCCCCTTTACTGCCCAACAGACAGCGAGCGAACGAACGGCCAATGTGGCGCCCGGTCTTGCGAGTCCGCGCACGCTGCACAAGCACGCCAACCGTTTCGAAGAGCCGAATTAGAGCCCACACGACCGGCCATAACAGCAGAGACCAGCCAGCAGTGATCCGCTGGGCCACGGCTGAGTTGAGCGCCAGCCGCGCCAGTCACGCTGAGGCGCGGCCCGTCTCGCTCGCCTCGTCTGCTGCTCGGCCTCCCAGCTGGACGGCTGCATTGCTTACGTACGCCTCGGACCAGCCCACGCGTCCCCTCCTCTGTACTGTACTCGCACGGACATTTCCGTCCCTGCGTACTCTGTACGTTACCCGGGCACGGTATCGCTCCGCTCCGCTCCGTCCGTTCGTCTCGGTAATGATTATGTCCGCTCCGAGCGACCGACGCTCGGGCCTCGCTCCGTTTACCGGCAGACCGACAGCGCACCGAACTACGCCGAGTCCCACGTTTCGTTCGCCGTCGCTGACGTCGTGTGCGCGCTTGACCGGCGGCTGAAAGCTTGGAGCTTGGAACCTCTTCTTCTTCTTCTTCTTTGACGACCACGGCGGCTGGAGGCACGGTCGCCGTCTTGTGTTTTGGCCGGGCGCCAATTTTGTCGCGCTGGGGACTCATGTCTATCTGCTTGGCTTGCCTCCAAATTTGGTTAGTTGATCTTTCTTGACAGGTCGCCCGCCCGCCCGCCAACAATGCATCGAATGTGCAATGACTGGATTTGATCTCGAGACCGACCCTTCCCCCTTCCATGAAATGCCTCCTTCTCCCAGACTTGACTTTCCAGTTTAGACTCTGAGGTTAATGCGTTTTTTGTCGTGGTCACTCATTTCTTCTCCTAATCACTCTGTTGTCTGCCGAGTCAGCATCATTATCAACACCTTGCACATGTTCAGGTAGATGCTGCAAGGGAGGGAATTACCGTGATGTTAGAGCAGTACATAACAGAGAAGCTAATTTGATACTGCTTATGAAAAAAATTCAATAATCATCTATTGACTTTGGATAAGTATCGTGTCCACCAAAAACGATCATACAACATCAAGCATAAGAACTTTCGAATCTTATGATTTTATTTGTAAAACTTCATACATGAACAGATTCAATATTGAAATCAGCATCATCCAAAGATACATATTTCATTTATATTTGAAAAAATATATTTTTCAATATAACATGATCTTTGTGTAGTTTTTTCATTTTCCATTTTATTTTATTAATGAATAAAATTGATATCGATTGAAATCATTAAATTTTCTCATTTTTCACAATATATGTTTCTTAGTCTATTATTTCATGTTCAAAAACACATTAGTGTTTCACAAAGATATCATAATATTTCAAGTTTTTTATGCTTCTTTCAAGCTTAGCATAAAAATACTTTCATTTCTTGAAAATATGCAATAAACAAAATTTATATAACTTTTTGATGATAATCACGTAATGAAATCCAAGTATCAAGATCCAATATTTATTTTGAAATACTACAGTGTAGTATAACTTATTGAGGTTTTCAAAACAAAATATTCTAATAATCCAAGCCTGTTTGAAATTCGCATCTATGATACATTTAATGCTGAAAAGATTATTTCAAAGCGAAAATTGCTATTTTAAATTAAAAATACGTGATTTATACATATATAATAACAAATATATTTCTTTTTTATATTTTCAATCGTATAGATATCAATTTACGATACAAATCATTTTCATCACACTGTATATAGTTGTCATTTTGATGAACACAAATATTGATCAGACATCAGAGAGTTATCTTTTTTTTATCTTCAAATAAAACAACAGGATTCATCAAAGTAAATAGCATAGATGAATATTTTGCAGACAATATAAACTTAAATTTTTACGATTCAGAATCAAAATGCACATACGATCTGAAAAGATTTTTGAAAGAAAAAATTGGATATTTTTTACGTGAACTAGATTTACGTAACTTGATCTTCCAAAATATATAACTTAATTACATATCAAATTTAATAACCTATGAGATTTGATAGCGATTTTTTTGTTAAATTTTTTTTATTAATATTGATATTTATTTTTGTTATTAATTTGAATTTTTTTCAAATAACCATATAATATACTGCTCGTGCATGAGTTGATCTTAATTCAGCTTACTTAAATTTTGTTCATTGAATGTTGATTTATTTTGTACACATTGAAAATTTCTTTATACTTTTAATTACACTTTATTTTTTCATAAATTGTTGTGTGTGGATATTACCAAGAATTTTAAAAGGGTTCTTACTATTTTGAAAGAAGAATGAAATTGATTGCACACAAGCATATAAAATATTTTCGCATATCCAGGTCCTTAATATAGTTTTGTATGGTTATCATTCAAAATTTAAAAATCATTATAGTTTTGGTTTCATCTAAACGTCTCATCCATTTAATGCCAAGAAACATTCAAATTTCACATCTGTAAAAGTAACATACTTATAACTTCATATATAATTTCATCTCCAACAATTTTGGAAATTATGTGAAGCTTTTAAAACTATTATTCACTTTTGACTAGAGTTACGTCATCTAAATGCAGTCAACTCCCTCATCCACACATGACTATGGTGTAGCTTTTGACTATGTGAGCATTCGATAATTATCTCTCTGTTCTCATGGAGGAGAGCATTGTAATTCATCGCAGAGTCCCGAAGATGTGAATGTTCAACGCACGTTATTACGGATGTGAGATGCGAAGGAGCATGAAGCGGATGTCGTCAATGGTTAAGAGCTGGCATTGTGCTGATCTGACTCTTTATTATAGTTGCGGACGACCTTTCGATAACCCGATCGTTTGCCACCTGGACGATACCAAATGACCGGAGATGACCATTTCCATGGAAGTCATATTGGACATTCTGATTTGCTGTGGTGCACTCTTGTTACTCCATGTATCTATTTATTTCATGTTTTTTCTGTACTCTCGCCATTCAGTCATGGAGGCAACCTGGTCCTTGGAACACGTTCCAACATTTGTGTAAAGTGAAATTACACCGATCCAAAATCTGCACTATCGCAGCAAGAAGGTGTTCTTTTTCGGAAGTATCACTCCTGGTGGGTCATGGGTGGTACAGAATAGGTACCCTGTTTCACTTATCCAGGCTAGAAAGTCAACTGTGGTAGATGTCGCACTTTGCGTCTCTGTTTGACTACAGTAGCTTCAGTCTCCTGATAATTGAACTAAGGACTTGAACCACGTCAAGGCACTTTCACTGAGTACTGTGTGCCGATACATCCGTCCGTCCGTGTGCACCTACTTCCATGCCGGCCGTTGAGACATACGTAGTACGAGTCTGCAGAGTAATCCAGTGACCGGATCCATCGGTCCCAACCTGTCCCTTGCACGCTCTGATAACTCAAATATACGACCCGGCAGATGCTCATACGATGTGGAACAGAAAATACACACACGGGCTCGGTACGACGATTGAGTACGAACCGGGTTTTTCCGTCACTCCCGTGAATCTCACTCCAAGAATTGTGTATACAATTATCTCCGGCTTTGATGAAATTATTATATTCCAGATGGAAGAAAATAATTGTTTCAATCATAAGATAGACTTAATGCGCAGAAAGAGAACCGCATATCCATTTGACGACGGTCACTCCGACCTATGTATAGTCGTCCTACGTGGGGCTTACATTCCGTCAGCCCTCACTTTTCGGTGATTTCTCGGATGTTACAGAAGTCGCAAAGGTCGCAAACGTTGGAATCCTAGCAACTCTAAAGACCACAAATGTCGCTGTTCCCTCGTCGACGGCGCGGCTTCACTTTTTGGTCGCAGGATCTTTTGCGTTTCCGGTCTCTTAGGGGGCATCGGAAATTTGATGAATTTGCCTGTCTGGGACCCGTGCCTGACTGGGTCGATATGATATGTTCCGAACCAGGGGTCCAGGTGATGGTCATAGGCTGGGTCAAATCTCAGCGCATGCTATTACAGGCAGGAGTTCAGGCTGTCGACATGTTTGTCGTCCGATTGTCTCCATGTCGACTACGCAGGGAGAAACGTGCAAGGCAAGAGCTAGAGCTGGCTAGAGACGAACATGGATTCGTGAACAAATCACGGGACTTGGAAACAAAAGGAAAAGGAAAGGGTACAAAGTGAAGTCACCAGAAGTGTGGAAGTGGAGGAGTGGCATGCATCATAGTCACGGAATACGAAAGGGTCTCCTGATAAACTCCCACGTAAGTAAGAAGTATGCTTTCTGACTGTCATTCTCGATGAGGAGAACAATGCCACGCACGGGAGCGAAAGAAAGATTGTGCTCTTGATCAAGTCGGAGCTCAGGTGACTGTATGTGTACACACGAAGATGGCAGGAAAGTTGTACATGGAGACATGGCTTTAGGCCTAATCCAGGCCATTAGCTTACGAATCAAGGTCATTGTCCTTCTGGCTGATTGCGAGTGGAAGGAGCGCTGGCTGGACACCGCTGACGTCGGAGGCGAGTAGAGTTCCAACGAGGCTCTTGCTTGAACTGGATCGAGAGCATACGTAAGCTGATTCAAGTCTTTGGACCCTAGAGAACAAGCATACAGGTTGGTCTAGATCCGAGTATGAAAGCCTAAACTCGTACAGACTCTAGTTATGTTTGTACTGTATTGCGCTAGGCCAAGGGGTCCATGCTCCGTCTGCTCTGCCTGGTGGGGTCGCAGATGATAGCTCCTCCCCGGCGTCAGTCCAGACCAGTCCAGTCACTTCCATGCCAACATGCTGTAGCAGCAAATTCTCAGTTGCTTGTTAACACATACAGACGAGACGACAAGCCACAGGCCACTCAAGCCCTCCACAAGAGACAGATGGTCAAGAACGTCCACCTTGCTTACGTACCTCATCTCATCATTTTTGTAGCCATTGTGGAAATGGGTGCAGTAGATTTGTCGTGGGGGAGCCAGTCTTCCATCATGTTTCACTCGGAGGACCGAGGACGAGGGCGATGAGGTTCAAAGTTAGAACCATGAATGACCGAGTTACAGAGTGATTGAGTGATAGGTGAGGGCGGGCGGGCGGGCGGGCGGGCAGCAAGCACCAAGAAACACAATGCCACCAAACAGTGATATCTGCGATTGGATTGTGGGTAGGCGTTCCCGACCGAGGCTAAATTTAGTGGAGTGCACGTCCTCAGGTGTTATCAAAACGACCTCAGTCGGTTTATTCGTAGGTCCATTCATTCTCGGGAATGATGCAAGCCTGTCGATTTGGCCATTTGAGATGTGGTGTTTTTGGATGTATCTTATAAACGCACCGCCAAACTTGTCTGGGTGAATTCATTTTGTCCATGTTTGGAGCACCACCCACTTCGATTTATTTAAACACAGTACCTCCTTAACACAGCCCCACAATTGTGGGTCTCAGACACGTAGAGTTATATGGAAAATAAATACAGTCGTGTAGCGATTATTTTTATGTCAACACAGAGAGGTTAGGAGCATAGAATCAGGTTCCACATGACCCGCCAACCGATTTAATTGATTGAGGCAAGCATCTTTCTTTATTCTGTTTTGACATTGCTTCCGTCTTCTTCTTTGATATTCCACTTTTGCTTTCAATTCAACCTTCATGTAAATTATTGTATCTTTTTGCTTCAACATCAATTCTATTCTAATCGACTTTCTCTATAATAGACCTTAGCATTATCATTCTTCCTTCAAAACTTCATGGAAAAAAGTCATCAACATGGCAAAAAAGCTCCTTATATGTTTTTGAGAATCGATACTGCAGCATGTGTTCGATATTTGATCAAATTCATTCTCAATCTGTCTAAACCTTTTGGGAGGTTTGTCTCCTAATTCTATATACTCTGAGGCAGTTCGACCCTAGTAGAAAAAATTTAGAGCTCTCCCTCTTGCATGAACTTCCATTGTGTTTTTAGTTGTATATTCCATTTCTATATTCTTAAGTATTCTCTCCTACCTAAAATAGAATTGCTCGTTTGATTGTTTTAAAAAAAATGGATGCAAATAATAATCTTCGAAATATCTGAATTCGAGGTATGCCTGATCTTATTCAATGGCTTTTCACCTCCTGAAGCATACGTTTCAATTAAGCATGCAAAGATACGAATTCAATATTTCAAATTGAGTGACCCAATTAGATGAGACTTTGTGTTTGAGAGATCAGTCCATTATCCATGACAAAGACAAAATGACTACAAAGATCTCGCAGGCCAAGGATGCTTTCCAGAAATTCCCCACTCTTACTCTAACATCTTAGAATTTGTATCTTCCAAGCACTTGTTCCAGCACAAATAAATGCCTTAACTGCAAAGAAACCGTTCCCCAAAGAAACTTAGTCATGGACTTATAACACCCTCGATTCCTAGAAAGCGTTTTTTCTTATACTTGTCCACCTTCGAAATGATTGAACTAAATAATGATAATTAGTCATTAAAATTTAGATGTAATAACAGTTCACTACTTAGAGATTCAATACAGTAGAAAACTGGAGAGGTGTCACCATTTAAGAGGGTTTGGGCTCTTTGGTGACAGGTGGCCCTTCGGCAAGCGAGGCTGATCCATGGAGATAAGTTCCTCCGTGCATGCGGCATGCCTGCATGCATGCGATGGAACGCATGGTTGTTCCCCCGCGACCCTCCAACGTTGACGGTGGCCAGCATCCAACTTTGGCCTCCACGACAGTTTAGCGATCGGTTGTTTATACCCGCAGAGTGACACAGTGTCAAGATCATGGAGGAGGATTCGGTAGAGCGCATTATTGAGACCGAAGACCGACCCCAGACTAGAGACATGAGAACATGAGAATGCCAAAGTGCCATGTCATGTCATGTTATGTCAAACACGCTTAGGAGCGTGTTTGACTCGAGGGCAAATTCGCGTTGGATTGTGTCAGCAAAGCCGCCGGTGAACTGTTGTTGTGGTGTATTCAGTCAACCTCAAGCTTCCTTGAACGCATTATCGTTTGCATAACGCATCTGTAGCGTGTCCTAATTTCGACAGTTGGCCTAAGTCCATGGAGAGAAGTGTGGACATGACGATTCATCTTCAGTAAGTATACATACGTTTAATATTATTTCGCTACATGTACTTCCCGTAGTTACAATACAACGAAAACAATAGCTCATAAAACCATGGGGTGAAAATCAGCCAGCAGAAAATGAACTAATTCACGTCATGGACCGACCATGACGATATATCAATATTCTTCCACAAAATCAGATGGTGACAAATGCCTAATTACAAACCCACAACCCTGTGGAAGTGCATCTTTGAACAGCAATTCCACTAACAGCTTTCTGACAACGCATGGAACAGAACTCGAGAACTTTACGAGCTTAGGGATCGAGGATTGATAAACCGATGGAAAATTGTGTGACAAAGGTGCCACTTCGAAACTTTGAGCAAACTTGGTAGAACGAGAAACTTCAAACGCGCTAAATTTGCTCGATTTGTTCCGCTCGTGATCTATCACGGGAATCGGTTTCACGCGTCCTAGAATTTAAAAGAATTTCGTGCAAAGTCGGGACTCGAAACACCAGTATTCCCAGTCGAGTTGGACCCAGCTCAAAGCTTCCTATGTACTCAATCAACGACTTGTACTATGACATCGACGAGGTACTCTTGGTGGTTAGCATACTAATCAGTCACATATAGCCAGAAGCGGATGGGCCTCTGGCTGATCTGACTGATTACCTTCTTGCTGCAGACTGTGTGAAGATAATTCGTCAGTTTAGAAAATATTACAGTAGCCGATGTTTGGAGGACAATTACCTGGCGTGAAATCGTCGGGTGGATATTCGACACGGTGGTCAGAAAGAGCGTGAGGAGGGGAGGCAGGAACTGTCCCTCGGATACTCGCCTGTTGATGATGTTCTTAAAAAGAGGACATGGTATCCATCCGAATATTTGCATGCAGAGCAAAAGGAGTATTGAAGTTAGTTAAAGCCCAGCTTGGATTCCTTGCATGTATCATGTGCCAACGACGAGAACGAATCATCGTCATGCATCCTGCAAAAGGGGAATGAGTGAATGAGTGATTGATTCAGCAAAGCAGCCTCCACCATCACGATCTGGAATCCAGTGCTACCATTGTCCATTGTACAGTATCCATAGCCACGCTCCTCGACCAAACAACTTTTACAAATGGCGTTCCTCTGATGTTATTGCATGTTATGATGTGCCACTGATTTCGTGCTTTCACGGGAGGCTAGCGATGGAGGCCATCGATTATACGAGAGAGGTCTGTGAACACTAGCCCATGAAGCGACGTGTGTTTTTCTCACTTGCTGGCTGGAGAGAGAGCGACAGAAGGAAGACGGCAAGGCTCGTTTGTCGGGGAGTCTCTTGAGAAGGTTATGATTGAAAAGCGTCCAAAATCCTGCCAAAGTTTCAAGACATGTACCGTATATTATCAGATACGTAGTGGAATCTGTCGAGGACACGGTAGTAGCCCAAATTCATCTGTATTGATAATGCCACATGTGAATACATGGCCAAGCAGACAAAAACTTCTGCTGAGACCACAAGTCTTCAATCTTGTCCAAAGTGTGTGGCTCACTGCATCCCATACGCTTCCCTCACTCCTCCATGTCACGACCAATCTACCCAGAACCGGTCCAAATACCTTCTCAATACAACTACTTCAATGACGAAGAAGTTACAGGAAGGAAGAGAAACTGTACGCGCCACTCAGGAACTGCTGGAACTAGACTGGGCACGACAAAGAAACCCCCTTAATCGCCTCTCACATAACAAAGATCACTTGGCTTTACACAGCACCCCAAGATTCTGATCTACCCAAGAAAAAAGCACACAGAGTGTTGTAAGCCTGACCGACTGACGTCGGCGAACATGATGCTCGTAAGCTTTACGCTTGGCTAGTGAGTTCGTGCGCACTGTGAAATGGCAACTAAAGAAATAGAAGACGATGGCAATAGTCTGATGCCTTATGCTCTGCTGTAGTTCTATCCTCTACTCCACTCGGGAGGCACATTAAGACTGTACTGTACTTTGATGTCTGACAAACAGTCTCTTCCACTCCTTTTCTGTAAACTCTTACCCTTTGGCCTCCATGCCTTTGCGGGCGATGTACTTTCCAGAAAACTGGGTCTCAGACTATTGTATATAACAAATTCTGTTCCAACTGGAGAGAGTCGTGAGTCACGAAAGTCACTTTCCTTCTATTTACTGAAAGAGATAGAGAATCAGTGCAGAATTGGATGCTTGTTTTCGACAGCTGAAGGCGTACCGGATTGGCTGAAACACGCACAGACAACTTTTGCCACTGCGAATATAAAATCTAGAGCTCTGACGGTAAGGCTTCTGACTGTACTGATGAGAAGAGAATTTTAGTTTATTGGTGATGATGATGCAGTACAACATGGTCCTCGGCACTCGGGTGGAGAATCAGTTCGTCTCTTTTTTTGCTCCAGGAGACTCCAACCTACTGCAGGTCAGGACCCTATGTGCAGCTCTTCTCACCCTCTTCCAAAGTTTACCCTTGCTGTACTTTTTGTCTGCGGTGGTCCACATTCACTCGTCCGAAGGTCTCGAACGATGTTCTTTCTCCGATTCAAAGATTCGAGGAGTGTAACTCGAGCCATCACCATGAACACTCAAGTCTATGATATCTGTGTCCTCGGAACACCAACTTTGATAACTCGTGAGATCATGAGTAGCTTTTGTGCTATTGTTGAACGCCTCATCGAGTCCACTGGTTCCCAGCTGACCAAAAAGCCTCAATCCCGGCACATTGTGAGCAGAGGGTCTTGGAATGGCTCCAATGGAAGTACATTCCTCATCCAGTCGAACAATTGTGTCCAGACATGCCCTCCCCTGGCCTTCTGGGTGCGAGATATATCAAAAGTTCCACATTTTCTACGTTTCAGTGGTCATCGTTACAAGGCAAAAGACAACGCGAGACACGTTCATGATTGAAGTTTCGGTCTCGGTCTCGATTCGGGTCTGGAGTCTGGAGCGAGGCCCAAAGTATGGTTGCGTTTCATCGGGGAGATGAAATTCCGAGAGCGCGGCATCCCTTCTTATTCGGGGTGGTATCAAGGGAAGCCTACGAAGTTTAGGGTTTATTGACAAAGTGATTCGGCATGGTTCCTCCTTTCGAGCCATGTCTGGAGAAGTTACGCACGACGGCACACCACGACACGATAAGAGTGCACAAGGTTTTGATTTAAACTCTGGATTGCGGTGATTTAACACTGGACACGACGTTGGTGATTCCCTTCGGACAAATCGTCGTGAATGAGAATATGGAGATCTAGATCTGGGAGCCGAGGGGCTAGAATCACTGTGAATGATATTTGCATGATGAGGCTGTGATGTGATGTGGGGTGAAAAACAAACTCACCTGGACGAGTGCGTGCGTACGTACGTACGAGGACTCCTCGCCGCGTGGTGCAAGTAGCTAGCTCATGTAGCTAGGCGATGTCGCCAAAACCTCGAGTCGATCCAAGGACTGTCGTTTCATAGCTGGTAGATACAGAGACGGCGATCGAGAAGTAGGAACTTTAGCCTCAGAAGTCTCGGCATTGGAAAGGAAAAGTGCAAGTGCAATGTCGAGACTCTGTCGAGCATTTCGGAACAAAGTGCGAAAGCGGAGCGGTCTTGCGCCTTCTGGAACCGATTTCATTCCTCGAGACATGGAGAAGAACAGCCGAGCCGGCTCGGGGAGTCGTGGACCCGCATAGTTGACTTGCGCTCATTCCGATTCCTCGGCACTTGACGGAATGCTGTCGGTGAGGTCGACCGTTGACTTGATATCGCCCCCCCACCCTCGGAGTCAGCCCGGAATGACTCGAAACTGCCTGGAATGCACCTGGTTTTCGTGCTCTGCGAGCGACATTCGCCGGTTCTACGAGCATAGAACCGGCGAATATCGCTGTTGGTTTTGCAGTCCATCTCATTTCGACCGAGAGAGCGGGCTGGCCCAAGACTGATAAAAGTTCAACCAAAAGCCAGATTCCAGTCCATCTTTGTTGGGGATATCACCGAGTAAGACTCGAGTTAGCTTCCGACTGGACGCAGCTCACCGACGTGATTCGATGGTGACCATTTGATGGTGACCGTCGTTACGGATGCAGCCCTCTCGTCTTGTTGTCCCCAGGAGGTAAACCTGACGAACTTCCCCACGACGGATCGTCGGGTCCCACTGCATGGGTCCAGTTCCGTGATTTTCCCCTCTCTGTCGCTGCGAACAAGGAGAAGTGTGGACTGAAAACCTCGACAAGAACTAGACAACTCGGCGGCTTCGATGAAAAGAAAGAAGTAGATAGGATCAGTACCTTGCACAACTCCTCCTGCCCCTTCCTCTCGTTTCTTTGCATCCAAATGAAGCTCAAGGTTTTCTGCTCAGACGCGAAAGGCGTGGCTCTACGTAGAACGATGGATGATCTATACAACGAAGTGGATAGCAAGATTGAGTAAACTGAACATGAGAATATCTGTAATTAATCACTGCTTCTTGTCATGACTCAATAATTTCTATGAATATATGTGTCTTCCATAGTGTTGATCCTCCATGCATCAATTTAAAAAACTGACAAATACCTGTCCTGTTAAAAAAGTCTGAACATCTGAATACCTTAAACTGTATCCTTAAACTGAAATTCATGGTTGCTTCTAAACAAATTTTTACCGTATTCTCAGCGCTCATGAGTCTGATAATTGTCTATCTGCAATAATGTTTTAATCTAGCCCTGCGTCGACTATGCCAAGCGACAACTCTCTATATAAACTCCGCGTTTTAATCCTTTACCTACATTTGGCGACTTCCTACAGTATGAGACTTGCAAACCTCATCAGATTTGATCACTACTTCTTGGAGGTTAATGTACCAAGATAATAAAGTGTAACCCATTATCAATATTTGAACTGAAGAACTGAGTGCCTTTATTTCTCAAATGATGATATAATAACACAAATTATTTCCTCAAGCAGGAACTACATCAAACGACCTTGTAATCAACGCAAGTGAACTGTGCGACGACAATCACACGGTCGAAATCCACTAAACAAGTTTTGCTTTCAACAAGTTCAACCTTGCTAAACGTTTCTAAATTATTCTTCAAATTTCACGAGTGAAACGTGATTGTAAGCCAAAACTCATCCAGAATTATCCAATACATGTATTCTGCGCAAAGACACAGCATTTGCACGAAATTTACAAACAATACCAAGACCTATATTACAAAGTTGATATCCACAATTTCCTTCAAATATTCAACAACTGGACACGAGATACATGTCCTCCTACATATGCGCAAAGCTTTTTCAGAGGACCAAATTTCCCTGTAGTTCTATAAGGAGTGATGTCCGGAAGAAATGCACAAAAACTGGGAGAGGATCAAAAGTCAGGAACATATTCCAAGTGCCCCCACTAGCTTTGTCACAGACGAATATTTCAAGATGTAGTAAGAGACATGAAGCATCTCAGAAGTCCTCTGCGGCTCATGCCAGAGGCAAGGTACGAGAGAAGTTCACACAGCATCCTCAATCCAGACCTAGTCTTTGGAACATTGAAAGAGTGCAGCAGTACATCCACGGGACTGCCCAGACATCTGCAGAAGTTTCCAATCCTTTTTCAGATGAAGATTTGAACTTGGAAAACATGTCAACTGAAAAGAGGCCTTTCAGAATATGCCGGACACAGGTACAACCTTCAAAAAGAGCATGAGAAGGATAAATTTTCTTCGAGCACTCTGCTTCTATATGCTTCTGAACATTTAACATGGCAGTCAAAATGATATCTTAGAAATTTTCAAATACTTAGGGGCGGCACATACATGTCAGTTCGAAAGGTAGTCACAGGTTGATACTTGTAATGGTTCAACCCAAAATGAAGAATCATTACCACTATCTTGATTGCCGCCACGTAACCACTAGAAACAGTGACATTGAGAGCAAGAGAGATATGAAGAGGAACGTGATCTTTGAGCTCAAAGTGGTATAGGGGCTGACAAAGAAGGCAGCTGATGTTGCTGCACTTTGCCAGATCTTCCATTGAGCAAAAGCCGCTTCCTGCAAAATCAAGAAACTCGTGGTTCAAAGAGGAGTTTCAGAAGTAGATGCTTCTTAGGACGGATCTTGTTACCTTCAACTTCTATCTCAAGTTTTTCAACAAACGACGAGTCTAGAAGCGTCTGCAGTTATCAAATTTTTCTCCTTTGCAATGCTATTGAAAATTTGGTAAAGTTCACATTCTACAAAATACAAATGTTTATGAACAGTCGACTCGAATCACATGCTCAGAGGATACAGATAATTATGTAATCAGATGTATAAACTTTGCAGCTTTTCAAGATCTTTGACAGCGCTTATAATCTACGAGCACAAAGGTTATGTAAAATCAGCTCAGATCAAATATTTCAAAAGGTACATACTGCAGACATTTGATTTCCCAGCTCTGGCCCTAAATTACGCAATACCCTTGATATGAAGATTAATAATACAAAGACCACCGACTAAAAGATAGTCACTTGAACCATCCAGTGGGATCTGTGTTAAAAAGTATGAAGGAGAGCAACGAAACGTGTCGATAGTATAGAACAGAAGTTACACATCATAGTACAGAACTGGAGAAGAGCCCAGAGGAAAGGAGACACGAATGTGCAAGACAAAGAAAAATGGATCTGGAAAAATGGATCATGTACTGAAAGTTGAAGTAAGGAGAACAAGATACAAAGAAGAGGTCGATCTATATGTTGGTGAAACACAGAAGGAAACTTCTGTGTTGGGTGACTGGAACACTAGTTGAAATGAATTCGCTCCCCGTGCGAAAGCAAGTCGAATGTAATAAATTCTTCATATAAGCAGGAAAGTCTCGGGTACATTCTAAAACCAAGATAAGCAGTAGCAGCCGAACTGTACATGAGGTCGTATTCGAAAGGATAGGCGGAATCTGAAGTAAACGCAAGAAAGAGGATTCCACAATCCAAAGACAGGAAATAATGAACTAAAATAAACGCAAATATAGTGAGAATGAAAGTTGAAGGAGATGAACATATCTACCGCTGATATCAAATTGTAAGAAACAACCTTAAACAAGCGCCGAATAGCCCAATTCCAGTTGAAAAATAACTCGTGATTATTTATGCAGCTGTAAAATTTTGGAAAACACAACGTCGATGCGTACACTAGTCTAGGAATCTTTCACAAGAGCAGAGTTGTGAGCATCCAGGCACCACTACCACCACATTGACTTCATCAAGCTGAGCACCTTTCCTAAGAACGAGCATGGCGCTTGGGTTTCTGCCAGCTCTATCAAAATGAAAGGGGAACACAGAATGCTGTTATATAGTACGGAGAAGCACACGGAAAAAGAGCCAAACATGGATAGAAAGAGAAAGTAAATACAACATTTACAATATATATGCAATACTCATTCTCTATACATAGGCGTTCCGGGAGGCTTGATAACTCACAGTGTCATTTGGATAGAAAATACCCAACACTGCACTGATTTGAGTGTTGAAGGTTGCATCACCTACTCCCCAGATGACAGCTGCTCCAAAGACAGTGAAATAAGATCTCGAATCCTGTTCAAACCTGCGATGAACTCATTAAAGACTGAAATAGATAAGTATTTGTATACAAATATTGTAAAAATTTCAAGGAAATAATGAATGCTAATAATGGGTAGGAAATGCTCAGCAACTTTGGTTTATGCATATTTTACAACACAAGTTTTCTAGATAGCTGACATATTGGAAACAGATCGGTCGAAGGATGACACTTACGGTCCTTCGAAGAAAAGAAGACCCATCACAAGGATTTGGCAACATGCTCCTGCGATTAAAATTACAGAGATAGACACTAATCCAGATGAATGTCGACCAGCAACAAACGATGCCTGCGAGTAGGCAAGAAGCGTAAAGCAACCTTCGTTAACCACGTCCAATACACAAGTGCATAGTTTCTTCTCATGGTTGTAGTGATGATCGCATCATTGGTGTCTTCCTTTAGTTGGCGGAAAAAGCTTTAATCATCAGTCGACTGACGGAAATATCAACGATACTAAGATGGAATGATGTGGCTTGTGCCGAATATATTACTCATGAACAAAGAAGAGAGTAAAGAGAAAACTCACTATAGTATCAGAAGCACCGTAAACAGCCATGACGCCCCCAACCCATGACAGCCCGAGTGTTGGAGTGATGATATCTCTGGTGAAATCTCCCCTACAATCACAAGTAAAAGTTACAAAAACTTGAGTTCACCAGAATCACGGCCATCTTCACAAATATTGTAGCTGTGGCCTCGCGCAGAATAAAGGTGTTGTTGACTACATACTAGAATGACTTGAAAGCTACTAGGTGCAATCTCCATCCGCGTCATTTCAAAAGCTTTCATATCCTTTTCCGCAAGCATAAAACGTCAAACATGAAGACTGAACATACGAGAGAGAAGATGACCGTGAGGTACACACCATATAAAAGCCTGCTGCATCCCAGTATAGACTAGAAGACAAATAAGAAACAACATCTTTCTTTCAGAGAGTAGCGCAAATGAGGCTTTTGCATAGCCTCGATTCGCTAGAGAAACATCCGCAGAGGATGCTCGGCTGGTCAAATGTGCGTGGGATCTTAGAAAGCAAGCTAATATTGTACCAAACGTCATACTCCCGAGGAAAACAAGAAAAAGTTCCACAAGGCCTGCGGATGACTTGTCGGGTTGTAAATCTGGATTCTGATTTTCAGAAGAAAAAAAACATTCACCCTGTTATTAGAAGCTGGGTGAAAACTCAATTGATGCACAATGGAGAAAAAAATATTGCAGCTATTCATGGAAATAACTCAATTTTAATAGCGTCAATTGATACGCTTTAGACATCAATTTATATGCATCAATAGATAAAAGAGGAGATTTAACAAGAACTTCTGCTTAAAAAGGGAAGACGACCAGCTTTGTAGTTTTGGAATTAAAATTGCAACATTTCTTTTGTAAATGCAAGATGAACTTCTGATATTGACGTTTGGAGAGCTATGTCCTCCAAAAACAGGCATTTTGAGAATGTAAAAAGATCTGCTGGTAAGATTGTACAACCACCAGTACTGGCTATATAATATCGTGAACATTGATCACTCGAGGACCATCCATATAGAGGATCTCAGAAGGTCTGCCAACCGGACTGCAAAGGCAACACTACTGAATCTTACCACAAGTGACCATGCCTCCGATGTACACATCTTGAATCAAGACTTGCAATCGTTTGGGATGGCGACATCCAATTTCGCTTCTTCGTAGAGCATCGCTAGTCCAGTATCTGATGATTGGAAAGAACATGGGCTATAGCTGTCTTGAACCTCCTTACACGGAGGAAGAAAAGAACCTACTCTGATGAAAATCATCTCGAAACAAAAGTTTTTTAGAGTTGACTCAGTTCTCATAGAAGACTTACCTTTCGAAATTCCAACAACGCAAGACTCAACATATTTCCGATGACCTGGAAGGAAAGACATGGCACTGGATATGGTGAGGAATCGAGAATTCTAATTCATATCTTCTGACGCAAATCTTTACCTTAAGAAGGCAAAGAAAGGTTTATTCCTGAAAATCACTATACTGGCAAGGTCTGGAAACCTAACGTTGGTTCTACTTCCTAACACACGATAAACTGAAGGTGAGCTATGACAAGGAACGGCCTCTTCACACTCAGCTTTTTCCAGTGAGGAAAAAAATGAAAAACACTGAACAAGAGAAAAGTGGAAAAGGAACGGCCTCTTTACACTCAGCCTTTTCCAGTGAGCAAAAAAATGAAAAACACTGAGCAAGAGAAATGTGGAAAAGTAAGAGAGCCTCAAGAAACTTCACCCCTAGGGCGATTTATACTGGTATTGAGAAGAACATGTCAGTGACATCTCCAAGAGACAGTCATCACCAGAGATGTGTGGAACTAAAACGCGGGCAAGAATGGCAGTGTACACGACTGATAAACTCACAGGCTGTGAACAAAAGATCCGAAGATACGTGAGCTGACAAAGTATAGCACATATATTAATAACAACGACATATATCTGCACATCAATAGGAATGTAAGAATCTAGTAGATAAAGGCAGGGACAACGATGTAGAAACGAGAGAGGGACAAGTATTGCAAGAATATTACGGTCGGATGACGGATCTAAAACAATCAGGAGGGGGGAATTATCTGATTGTTACCCAAGATGTGATATAGACTACCATTCACACTCTCAAATTGACAAAGTTACCAGAGGACCTTTGCTCACAACGTTGCTTCGGTCCCAAGGATACATTCCAAGGAAGTAAGAACATATAGTAAGGACTATCAGAAGGAAATAGTAATGTGTAAGGTTTGCAGACATTTTCCTTATACAAACTGTCTAAGATAGTCTTGAGACAAATTTGCGAAGTGATAGTAAGGACTGTGAAGGAAATTTGTATGATGTTTAATCACAATATCCACAAGCATTAATGGACACACAGAAAGTCTAGGGAGTCAATTCATACACTGATCTATAAGTGCAGCACAATAGTGTACATCAAGTCAGAGTCTTGGACCTAGGAGCTCTTGCTGACAACAAGTGTCATACTTTCTCACTTCGTGAGAAGGTATCCTATCACACACGCTAGAGGGCAGGTAACAAATTAAGGCAGAAACCGATTACCTGATTAACAGAAAATACCCCCCAAAACTCTCCATTGAAGCTTCCGAGTGCTGTTGCCTCCGGAATATTGCACACCGCTGCGTGATTCTTGGCAGCGAAAGTTAAGTATGTGCCCTGCGTAAGTCGTAAAATAATATGAAAAAGTCGTAGCAAAATGACCAAAAAAGGCTGTCTTGCCTTCGTACTTTTTATTGCTTATCATGGAAACTTTGTACTATTCATGATTGACGTCATACATAATGGGCAGGAAATGAATCTTTTCAACGTATATGAATATTCATCTTTGCATTATAGACGATTTTCCCTCCTTTGATTTACTTCAGTATTTTCCTATAATGGCGCTTCCGGGAAAATTGTTTCTATCGGAGTTCCGGATCTGACTGCATAACCGATAAATAAAACATGAAAAACATAATGCTTGTGTAATTAGTAAACAGGATATTGCAAGGAATCCACTCTTACCTCTGCGACCCAAAGGACAGAAGCCGTGAAACCAAGAAAGATAGAAGCAGGAATCAACGTGTACCTGGAAAAAATGAGGTTATTACTCAATATGTCAACGTTCTGTCCCATCAAGTACAGCCTACAGATTTAACTAAGCCTGCCTTTAGCGTGGGGACTCGAATTTAGTCTACGTTAGTTACCAACATCCTTGTCATCGCGATGCAAGGAAATAATCCAGATTTAGACAGCGATAGAGATAGTTTCACTGAGAAGTAAGTCTAATTCACAAGGCATAGGATTAAATATAGACAGCCATCCGACTAGCTCGTCGTTCGCACAGAATGCTACTAATTTTAAGACTTCGAGGAATTCTCTGTCTCCAATTTATAGCTCTATCCGTACTTCAACTGTCAGAACAATGCAGATGGCTCGATGCGTACACAAAGAGCTGTTGGATGCAAATGTATCAGAAGAGTCTGCCCGATCAGTTCTCCAAGTACTGCAACTTACAACTCAAGCAATGTGATCCTCAGCATCCGACTAACCAGGAAGGGAATAAATTCGCTGCGATGAACATCCAGTAGCCCGAAAGACCCAGTAACAGAGCATTTTTTGAGCCAAACCACATAACCACTATAGGAGCGCCGAGAGAGCACACAGTTAACGAGAGATACAAAACTCCTAGGGATGTCGATCCTAGACCTTCATCCTGCAAGACGAAGTAGATGTTAGATGATTTATCAAAGTGCAAGATAATCCAGCGGACTTCAGTTGACAAGAAGTCTGATTTTCATATAGAAAACGCACGTGCTTTCACACTCGTTGGGGAAGTCCTACGGCTTTATCCTTCGTCCGACACCTTTCGTTCGACTTCATTCAGAAAGTGCTCACAACTCTTGATTGCTACTTAGACACACATTGGCTGCAATATGAATGAGGTTGTGTATGAAAATATCTCTCAAGTGGCAGCGAACTTCCTTCGCCTTCAAAACTTCTCAGTTATATAACGTTAAAATTCTCAACATATGGAAACTTATTAATGATGGGAATTGCGGCGAAGCTAAAGAGGCTATTGTCTGTACATCCATGGTATGACAGCATTACATCAACTGATGATGATTCTCCTGGAGACGGCAACAAAGTATAATGTATGAACATCAATTTCTTCAAGCAAATGGCATGCATGGAATGCTCAAGTTCAACTCATAGGAAGATCAGTACAATTAGTAACTAGAGAACCGTAGCGAAATTCACTGTTCTCAAGTCCTTAACCGAAAACTACCGTGCGACGCAGAAGACGCATCTAAAAGTGACTACAAGATGGCTCGGTGGAGTTAATGACTGAACGGCTTGAGAAGCATATGCAATATTTGGATGAGACTTACCGTGTGAAGGCTGCTCTCCAAGTTTTGAGTTGCACCGTACGCGAGAAAGACGAACAGAAAGCACAAACTTAACCTGTGCAGATCTCTTAGATACGGACTCCAACTGCCATCCATAGAATCGGATCGCGTCAACATTGGAGCATGATCTTGCCTCTGCCAAGCTTCCACTCCAGCTGTTCTCGGTATGATAGGCCTGAGAAGTGCTTGCGCCTCTGCTTCATCGTCGTCAGCATACAATGGGTGGACTGATGAGCAGACAGAGCTCGCATCCGAACGGGCTGACAGAGAACGGTCCAAGCGTCCGGACGGAGAACGGTCCATGATGCCCGATGGAGAACGGTCTACGGCCACGTGACCCGAAGAAGCGCTGCGTTCCATAGACATCTTAGAAGCTTTTGATCATTTTTCTACAGCCTGATAGTTCTTACGAAACGTAGCCCGTTATGCCAAATTAACATTCAAGATCTCCAATGCCTTGATCACTACATTTCTACCTGTAAGACCGTAGGATACCCAAATTTCATCATAATCTCCTCCATATCCCATAATAATCTCGTCCAGATTTCACCATAATCTCCCCAGACAAGTGGCACCATCCATGGCGACAGAAATAATTATGTTGCTCACAAGGAGTGTTCACTGGTTGAAATGTTGCAAAACTAGCACAAGCCTGCATGATCCACAGCGCTTGCAACACTTCTCATTGCCCCCTACGAGAGACTGAGACTGACGGTGCGGATTCAGTGTTTAAACTTCGTTTTCTTTTTCCTGAAAAAAAGCTAGAGTACGTGCGTAAAAGAGCGATGGAGGACTCGAACGATGCAGAACAGCTCCCGCCCACCGCCGAAGGCACAAAGCCACACCTCAAGAGTAAAAGCCAATATTTTGGAACGAAAGAATCGCAGCGTCTGACTGTTTCTAGTCCAGACAGCGAGTGGAATATTCTGACCCGCGGACTGAAAATTTTGTGATGGAAGTCGAGGCCACCAAAACCGTGCGCAGCACTAAGAAATCAGGCTCCGAATTTTATGATCGAGGCACAGCGCCATCGAGAGACTGAAACGGGGCTCCAACCACCCAGCCAAGCGGAGAACACACTGAAAAGCAGTGGAGCCAGCGATTCTTGAATTGTGCGAGCGCTCGGCAATCGTGCAGTACGAAGCAGGCAGCCGGGAGAAGAAGGACGAAATCCGTCGGACGGTCGGTCGGTCGGTCGGGCGGTCGAGTGGGGCGGGACAGTGGGTGCAGGCAATCGCAGCTGTAAATGCTTAGTGTCGAGAGCGCTAGATTATGGTGGCTCGATCATCATCGATCCGTCCGGAGGTCTGCCAGTTCAGTCGGTGACGTCTTTTCCAGCTCCAGATGTTTATCTGTCACTGACATTAACTATTTATCAAGACTCCAAAAGGAACCCGACCAGCGCGCCTCGCTCTTCCTCGTCCCTGCGCCACTCACTGTCCTTCGCTTCTTTCGCAGCGGCTCGATGGCCCGAACCCGAAACGAATCATGACGTGTCGTCAGTCGCGGGTGTCAGTCTTGGAATCGGAGAATCCTCGAGTGTCCCGTCCTCGGCAGTCCTCCCGCTGGACAGTTACCACGAGCCATAAGAGTTCAGAGCCGCTTCGCCTTTCTCCAGGAAATCCGATCGACCCCTACATCTCGACGCCCACTACGGTACTGTACCACTGAACTGACTTCTCGAGGCCCCCGTAAGGACGCTGCCGGGTCCCCGGACTCTACTTGCGAGTACAGTACCTAGGAACGCGAAAAGCACGATTCCTATTCACAATCCGTCCCCGGATTAATTTTATGTTTTCATGGTTGTTGAAGCATATGCTACACCAGGTGCAGAATTTACATTTTCCTAGATGTGAGCTATCAGGCTGAACATAGGCTTGTTTAAGAATGTGTGAACAATTCTAATAGGACTCAAAGTGATGATATTATCGTATGTCATATTATTTAGATGTAAAAAGTAATTGCATGGCTCCATCCATACAGAGTAACATTTACCATGATATGATTATGGATATGGTGATTTTGATAGAATATGAATGTGTATAACTCGCATGGATTGAATATTGGTATCGCTTGCAATCCACTAGGTTGAGGCAGATCTATTCTTCGATTTAAATTACCAGTATATAGTTATGATGTTTATCCATCTTAAAATGAAAGGATTACTTGTCGCACAGCCATCGATATGGATTAAGTGAGTTTACTTTTGAGTAAACTAATATTAACCAAGATTTACATGTATGTGTATTAAACGATCAACTTCTTCTTCCTTTGACGCTAGGCTGATCTGGGATAATGTATACAAATTTTGATGTGTTTGTAAGAGAGTGTGGAATAGCCTATCATACTAGCCAGCCGCGGACAATCACTTTACTAAAATTATTATGAAACCCATTTCATGTGTCTAGGTAATGCTGTCTATCTATGAATGAGAGTACATAGTCTATTTTAACAAACATGTTATTTCTCTACGAAAAGCAACATTTAGTGCTATGCATAGATAAAAAATATCACATTAGATGGTTAATGGATCCTGTTGTTAATGAAATGTTTCAATGTAGTCGCTTTATAATAAAGTTTTTTATTGTAATGTTATTGGGATTTGTGTGTACAGTATGTTCCATTTCTTCTTTGTATAACTTGATGAGATCTTCTTATGTTAGATTAGTTATCATTTGATTAGACTCTCATGTGTTATCTCTTCTTCTTTTTGCTACAGCACTTGGGGAGTCAGGTGAAACTTGATCATCGTTTTCTAACGTCAACTTAGTATGCACTGAAGTAATGACACTTGATTCGTTATCTTTTGTTTGACTGAATAATAGAATACATCATTTTTTCTTATATGTAATTCGTCAATCAATCAATGCACCAATTAATATAGATAACACCAAAAAAATATCCATCAATGTTATTTCTATCAAATCAGCTGTGTAAAATAAAACTATTTTTTGATAGCATCTCGGCACAACATATTTAGTCTGCATTCATTTATTAGTAAATATTGCACAAGCATAAATGTAGTAGTTTCTTGCTTGGACATGTAGCTTATTAGGTGAATATAGAAATTACATGAAAATGGCCATTTACTTTATGTAGATGAAATCAGATGTAAAAAATGGAAGTGGGTCTCAATAGCATCTCCATGCGAAGCTTAAATAGTTTTAGCTTACTAATCACATACTGTACATGATATGACTATCATAACATAATTTTACATAAATATCCATTTATAGGTTGATCACACTAATTATTTTAATTTTTTTATAATAGTCCATGCAATTTTTGTAATTAATTTTTAAAAATATATAAAAAATCTCATAATTATGATAAATTTTGATTACAAAGACGCTTGTAGTGAAAAATGCATTTCATAAATAACAGCACAAGTGAATTTATACGAAGATGTTAAAATATGAATTTTTTAAATTAATTTTATACAAACTTGTATTTTTTAAATATATCACATATTATCATGCATCTCCTGTTGAATTTCATATTCTTATTTTCCATAATGAGATACAGAAAAAATATTAAATAATTAAATTCACCAGATTGTATATAATTTTATCACTCTCTTGTAGTACTAAAGCGTTAAATTTGTAGTTAACAGGTATTTTAAATTTAATTTTCTACTTTAAATCTTTTTTTAAGGGGAATAACTTATCATGATCTGTGATATAGATCTCATGTACTGTAATGAAAATGTATTAGAATTGGATTTTATATATAAATTCTGGGAAAAAAATTGCATAATTTATAATATGAAAAAAATACTATTTGAACAATTAAATTTAAGGTGAAAAAAGAATGAACTTTTTTTAATGGAAAAAAATTTATCATGTTAATTTAAGGTGATTTTGTTTTATCAATCAAAACATGGTGATTTGAAAATTGATAATAATTTAGGTCAAAATTCAGTGTGATTTGTAGTTTACGTAATTGTGTTGTTTGATATGTGATTAAGAAACAAGGGACAAGTGGAAAAAAGAAACATGACATGATGTGGGTAAAGCGCAGGTATGTCTGCTCTTGTTTTTGATTCTCTTCAGCCTATGTAAGTCTTCATCTTCCATCCATTGCTTTCTGGCTCCTTTCCGTTGTTAACTGTCTTCTCTGTTTTCTGGGCCAATATCGTCCGGTGTTATAGATCACTCGTTACCTTTTTGCTTGTACTACAATTGTGAAGGTTCTTACGTACTGTTACAGTGCAAGTAGAAAACTGCAGTCAATACAGTACACTGGGGGAGTTTGAACTTTGAATAGAATATGCACGGAGTAAAGTACAGTACAGCACGCTGTGTGTTCGATTTCAGGCGCTCGGCGTCATTGTGGGCCTACACAGTTGGCAACGCAGTTGGGACCAGAAAGCACTGCATCGGAAACAGGTGCCGACGCCGCCGAAGGAATAACGATGCCACACATGCGAATGCGAGGTGTGTACATTCCTTCGTGGCAAGGTAGGGCCGGGAACCGCAGATAGAGCTCAATAGTATCTCGAAAGAAGTAAAAGCAATTCTCCGAGTTCGGTTTGCGAATTGTACGACGTTCAATGAACAAAGGGCCCTGTGCTCCTCTTTAGGATTTGAGCAATCAGATTCGTCGAGCTACAAGTGCAGTCCGAAGGTTTCCCTTCGAAGATTAGGGTTGTTTGTCTCATGTTCGCTGTATTGCGAGCGGTGTAGGCACGAGAGGATCGTTCGATCGATTGGGAAACTGGAATTTTCAGCTCAGTGATCGTAGCTACGATGCCACTCTATGATATAGTGCTCATGGTCAAGAAGGGCGTGGACAAGAAGAGTGTGGTGGAGCTTTTGTCTCGATTAGGTCAGAGAGTTTATGCAACGAGAGGCGTAATCACGGACGTGAAATCTTTCGGTCATGTCAATCTTGCCTACCCGATAAAAAAACGTGATGGTCGCCACCAGAAGGTATCCCGTTGGATCAGTCCTAGACTTATGCCAATTTCTAGCACATATATAGTTCCGGGGCGTCAAGCTGGTTCTGACTTCTGCTCTTTGAAATCTACAGGAATTGAAATAGCTTAAACATTCGATTTACTTTATCTCAATCGACTTTATGTTTCTCTTGTCTGGGCGAATCGTGAGAACAAGGCAGCTTATTGAGTATCTCATTCGGTTCTCTTCCACTCTCTTCGACTTGATCATTAGCACTCACATGTTTTGTAACGTTCACATTGCCTTGTGATTCCGACCTTGACAGGCTCAGATGATGCAAATGACGATGATGGTGAAAACTAGCTTTGGTGAACAGTTGAGTTATTTGAACCAAGACGAACGCCTCCTCAGATGGCTTGTTGTGAAGAGTAGGGGTGATGAATGGCTCAGAGGTCCTTCATCATCGTAAGTAGAGATTATATGTCGCGTAGAGGTCCTACACCGCCAATATCAGATTGTTGAATCTTATCACAATCTCGTGAAATTCGCAAGATGGGGATCTCCACAACGATTTCATGGATTTTGTACTATCTTCAGGAGGATAGAGAAGTCACCTCAGCTGATAGTCGAAGAATGAAATTCCTCTCAAGCACTGCACATTTCCTCATGTGTACAAGCGGTAGCAATGTTTTCAGTGGAGGACAAGTAGTGTGCCGGTTTTACCTCTATTGTCAGGTCAGGCTCATATCTTTCGAGAAGTTGAACTTCGTCTCGAAATCTGGTTCTCTCTCTCCAGGTAGACGAACCGTCCTGTCATCACATTGTTCAGCGTATGAATCTGACGAGATGGACTTATACAATAACGTATATATAATTCTGCCAGCTCTGAGTTGAACTCTGTCTCCGTCTTTAACAAGAAAAATCTCCTATTTGCTCTAGGTGCTTGCTTTGGACTGACGTTTTCAGAGGTGTGTGTGTGGATATTTGTGAGGGAAAACCGTTAACCTTAAAAGACTCGGACGACAAGAAATGATCAAACGCGGATCAATTGGAGACGTTACCATCGTGACTGTTCTGAGTACCTTCCCTGTGGTGGTGCCACCTGATCAGGCTCCCCAGCACCTGTGTACATCCATCTGCATCAACAAGAGTGGAAGAACTGAAATTGTTCACGTTGTGTCCATCCTCAGCTCCTCCACCCAAGTAGGTGCGGCCGGATGTAGTTTGGGCAAGCACTCTGCTTTTAAGATGTTTGAGTTCATGTGATGTCCAACTTTCAGGCCATCTCTGAATTCAAAATCTATGGGCCGCCACCAAGAGTGCATAAACTGAAGGACTTGTGCGTGTTAGAGAACCGATTGACTGGCGGGATCAGTAGTCAGATCAATGAAGTAGGAACAGGTTCATCGTCCAGCGGCTGAAGAGTCACTCTTATCATGGAAGGCGCAGTTTTTTTGTGGAAAAGTGACGCCCTCGTGCCGAGTACTCCCGAAGTGGCACTTATTCTTCATCTTATATGAACTCGTAGGATGCTCATGCGATCTAAAAGTAGAAGCATGGTCTTCTTCCAGGGCCGGAGAATCTTAACTGGGGTTAGTATTTTCAAATAATTCTTGAAGCTCATAAATTTTTCGACATTTTGGGGATCAATACGATGAGTACAGTCAGGGCTAGTGGAGGAAAGATGGGGACATGTAGCTTACACTCAATATTACAGATGTCCTCTCGTGGAAGACAAAGCCTCAGGTTAGTTGCTACCCGCTTATAACCTTATGAAATCAATGATAGGACGAATTATAGTACAAAGTTGGCGCCAGTCAGTAACAGATGCGGACAAGTCGCAGGCACATTCTAATATTTAATAGAGTGGAACGCAAGTGTATCTTAGCGTCAGTACCATCAGGAAGATGCGGGTTGTGGTTAAGACCGCGGATGTGAGATCTCTTCCATGCGTTGCACGCACTTCAGGCAACTGGCTAGGACAAACCGAACTTTTCCCTTAACGAGTATATCCGAATTTGCACTTGGACGAGAGGAGCACTACTAAACGCATGTCCGGACTCTCTAACTGAGCAAAGATGCTTTCAGACATCGCGGCTGAGTTGAGATAGAAACTTCAGAAGTTGGATGTAGCGCCGAAGTGGACTGAGGAACTGAACGTGGTGAGGTCGGCTAATCTCATGACTCGGCCTACTAGACTTACAAATTGATCATCTTATCACTCACTTTGGTCTTCTGCTTGTTCCTTTCCAGCGAGCAGTCGGTCAGTCAGGCCACCGTTCCACTTGTCGAATGGGGGCACCGTCTCGAAATTTAGAGGCCGTTTTTTGTCCTGGTCCCGTCCATGTGCTCATCAGAGTTCTTAGAGGATTGTGGCTTGACAGTAGATGGTCATCTCAACCCACACGTCTCTTGAAACGATGGATCTCCTCTTCACCGCCGGCCAGCAGGGCGGCCAGATCGTACAGGTCACGAGATCTGAAAGTGAAAAGTCGTATGCGTCCGCTGAATATCATGGAGAAGGTTGACTCTGCTGTGATAGACCGCCCTTTGGGAAGCCTATGGAGATTGGGCATTTGACTCCTGTAGAGGCCTATGGCGATTCGAAGTGTAACGTGCAGGCATCAGTAATTTCACGAAGCGATTTCATTCTCTGCTCGAAAATTTGTGCACACTCTGCTAAGTAATTAAACAGCCAAGACAAGAAAGGTTAGATACAAATTTCAGCGGGCTGGGAGGAATACACTAGAGGAAGTTGCATCCTAGAGTCTAAGGAGTAATGTTGCTTCTACTGTTGCAATTTCTTGTTCAGGAAGACAGCAACCTTTGTTCTTAGCGTTTTATCCCTTTAAAGCAGGGAATAGTGTTTTCATGATGCATAGAATATACTGGAGCAAAATCTGCATCAAGCGTTGTGCTGCACTAAACCTTGACAAAATTTAGTGAAAAATTATCGACAACAGTTGCGCTTGACATAGCGCAGCCGGGTTCAACTGATCGGGAGCAAAAGCCTCAGCTGACAATGATTAGGTACGATCAACTTTGGGCCCATGAGTCCAAAACGTATTTTGATTGATCGTACCATATGATTCAAGGCATATGATTCATATGCCCTGTTGTCCCATACACTTCCGTACCATCTACACACCTTTCCCTCACCATCTTGAAAGTTGAAGGTTTGCTGGACGTTCCAGTTCTCTTTTGATGAAAGGAATGGACACCAAGAAAATATGAGGTTTGATCATGAATCTCTCACTCTACATCAACAGTCACCCGTGGGTTACGTGTTGCCCACCAATAGGAAGTGAATCGCACCATTGACTTAGATATACAGATGGGAGCACTAATCTAACGAATTCCAGATATGACATAGGTGCTTTACAGAGGGCTGCTCGAGCTGGGGTGGGGTAATTCACATAGACTTGGAGTCAGACGGGACAGCGTGAGATAAACCGTAGAAAACAAGTTGACAGATTCCGTTGTGTTGGATTAGCCAGATGACAACTAGGTCCGGCATACAGTAGACCCCTACTTCAGACCAATAAGGTTGCATGAATAAAGTGAAACCGACTGAAAAAGGTCCGAAGCTGCTGGGCGTTTGAAGAGTCCAAAGGAAAAAAAGCTTAGAATGCAGCTTATCGGTGACATCTTTCCCCTAGAAAGCAAGGAAGTCACGCATCTGCACATGAAGAATCTAGTGAGTAGAGTCAGGATCAGAGGATCAGAGCCTAGATTCAAAGCCTCGGGTGATTGGTTACTCTTGCTCAATTTTAGAAGAAGTGTAGGTTGATCTATGTGCCGCAGAAGAAAGGTGCGAAAATTCACACTATACGCACTCGAGGTGGGTCAGGGTGGAAAAGGACAAAGCTGCGCTTGTGAGAAAGCTGTCATGCGGTGTGTCCGTTGGTGGAGTGGATCCTGTTCTCTCGTACGGAAGCTGGAAGGTACTCAAACTGCTGCTGCAAAAGGAACGATGGTGAAATGGTTCTTCTCCGTTGGCCAGGAAAAGTACACTCTCTTCTTATCATACTTGTCCACGAGAAGGAAACCCAATTCCTTGATTCCCGCTGCGTGCAAGCTTTATCCCATACGTCCGAATATGTGGTGCCAGACACGTCGCAGCCTCTGCTTTCTGCGATCAATTTCAATGCTGTGAAGTTTGCATCCAGTTCATGAGTTGTGCATTTCAATGTTCCCACTGCCATCCCCGTTGCACACCTACTTGACAAACTGAAGTGCCAACCGATCATTGAACTTCAAATCATAGTCTATCTTCGAGAACATGTCTGGTAGGGGACGAAAATCCCAAAAATCTCAAATGGTCTCAAAAGTCACTCCCAGGCTTTTGGCCGTAGGCCTCGTGCGCCCTGCCGCCTGGCGACCTGTGCCAAAGTCCTTTGGTTTCTTCTTTCATGTACAGTGATGTTCTTGAGATCTGCAAGCAACATAACCTTAAGCTTGCTTTGAGCAAAACCTCACACGTACGAACATTCAGGTGACACAACAACACTCTGGATGTAAATCATAAAGCTCGTATCGGAGTCAGATGTGTGCAGCACTGAACTGCCGTGCATGGTGTCTCCAGAATTCTTATCGTGGCCGAAGTTGGTGGAAAAAGACGCAGGCTATTAGACAGATCATACATGTTCATGCTTGCTACATACGTCGAGAGGGAGAGGATTTTCTGCTAGTCGAAACTCTTATAAATATAAATGTGACAATGAAAAATATTCAGAGACTCTATAATTTCTGCTATCGCAATACATAATCTTTTGAGTATCTGAACCTTCAAATCTTGGATCATCCTTGTCGTCACGATAATGCACATCAAAAGAGCAAATCTTATATGCACGACCAAAGAAAGAGATTATGTCATCACTCATTAGCAGGCCTCTTCAAATATGGCATTTGGGGGTGCTATGACATATTTGTCATAAATAATTTTGGCGTGATGCCATAAATAAGAATGGAAGTCCAAGTCTCCTTTCGTTCTTGGTCATTATTAAAACGTTTTTGTTCTCTCTTCTTCGCTGTTGACGTTGATGAAATGTCTTCAAAGAAAGCCATTTAATCTCTCTCTCACATACTTGACTATGGGCTGAAGATCTTCACGTATGGTGTCGTTACATCGGGTTTTTGTAGCTTTTTGCCAAGTATGAGCGGTGAAAAAAAATAATCGAACAGAGGCGAAGGTCCGGCTAGAATCACAAAATACTTTAAGGTTCCACATTGACTAGAGCTGGAATCAAAACATCTTGAAAGTCTACACTTTAAAGCAAATATGGAGTGAATATCATGCTCTGTAATACACGTCAAACGAACTTTCTTTGAATACTATCCTACTCATTTTGCTGCGTCCTATGATCAATTGTGTTTGGATAATAACGTAAACATAGTTGACACAATTCTACTACCTTTTATTTGATCTCAAAATTGAGAATGTATTCATTGATAGAATGAGAAAGAGAAGATATACTCTGCAAAACAGTGGATCAAATGCCGGAATCCGTGGAATTTGATGAAACATGGATTACTTTTGAACTTAGATTTTCCAAATTGTGAATCCTGAAACTATGTGTGCGGAGGGTGATTTCTCCATGATTACCTAAGAGAAAGATAGTATATATCTTCTTTAATGATATTGTCACTCTAGTAAGCATACATTATAAGCAATTCAAGCAAATTAAAATTAGTGTCATATTTGTCATAAATAAAAATTGGCTGATGCCTTAATAGACTAAGTTATGACAAATTTGGCAAATGCCAAGTTAGAGGCTGCTCATTAGTAATGAATGACTGTTGTGGGGGTAATGAGTCATTACCCCACAACAATATTTAAGAGGGGATTGGTTGATTTAAGAGGAGAGGAAGAACATTTATTAACTCAAATCTCATATGCACGACCAGACAAAAGATTCTGTCAACACTAATTACCCCACAACAATATTTAAGAGGGGATTGGTTCATTTAAGAGGAGAGGAAGAACATATATCAACTCAAATTCATATGCACGACCAGACAAGAGATTCTGTCATCACTAATTACCCCACAACAATATTTAAGAGTGGATTAGTTAATTTAAGAGGAGATGAAGAACATTTATTAGCTCATCATAAGACATGTCTTATGTCTATACAGAGGCAATGAATAAAGCTTCTTGCAATGTCACATGTCACATGTGACATTGCAAGGAGCTTTATTCATTGCCTCTATATAAGGAAGCAACTCAGTAGAATCGCATAGTTGTAACGAGAGAGAAAAGGATTTTCTCTAATGTGCTAGAATCAGGTGATGTGCAATAAACTTGCTTCCTTGCCTCTGTAGGAAAAAGAATCTTATAACTGTAACACGAGAGAATAAGATTTGCTTTAATTTGTTTGAAGTTTATCAGATAATGTACACACATTTTAGAAACGCTACTACACTCGCGAATGTAAACACTCTTTATAACATTCATGACCATTTCAAATGAACTACTTTTTAAGTATCTGGCCGACAGATGGAAATGATAACAGAAGAGTGTCAGAAGAACGCTATGTGTTATGTCGAAAACTGAATGAAATTCATTTACTCTTGGCATTGAGAAATTTATGAAATTTAAATAGTTATTTCCATTGCAAAATAAATTGCCTTAAAAATCATTGGTGTTGCTGATATTCAAGCTCCAACCAAAAAAAAATCAGTAGCAAAACTAGCATTGATTCCTGGCTCGGATTGTTACAAGGCTCATCGTGTTCTCCACTTTGTCTTCAGCGCGAGTGCGCACATATTTGAAATAAATTTGTTATTTTTTTGTTTTTAGCCGTCATCTTTTGAGCTATGGTGGAGGTGTATACTCTATCGGTAAATCAATCTCATATCTTTCCATGTAGTTTCATTCCGAGTACATCACAAAAATTTCATTCCTTTGGAATGTTAAGATGGGCATGCATTGTGGCAAGGGCCGGGCAGAGGCAATGTCTTTCTTGTAAGACAATTGTCTGTAGATTTATTTGCATTGGAAACCTAGGTGGTAAGGAAGAATACATGGACTCAGATTGTTTCTTGATACACGTAGAATATGCTCATTGATGCTATGGAGGATTTTGTGATTGCAAGGCGAGACCCATGACCAAATTTGGCTCTTGAACCAATGTAAAATTAACGTTGCTTTTTATGCATTTAAGTTTTCTTTCGGCAGTTGCAGTTCTCTCTAGTAAGATCATGAATTTATGGCGTGAGCTCTCTGTAATATAAAAAAGTTTTTGAAAGATTGTGTTAAGCATCCCCAATGTTCAACGCCTTGCAATCCTCATTTTTTGAACAAATCCAACCCTTGTTAAAGCCGGTGCAGAAGTAAACATGATACTTGAAGATTATTGAAAGTTACGAGAGGCGGTCTAACATTATAGACTGAGGAACTCAAAAGGGAATGGACAATCTCGTTGGATTACTTTGGCAACTGTGGGGATTGAAAAGATGTGACAAATTGCGTCGGGGTGCTGATTATGGATGTAGCTATCTGGTTTCATTTGCTTTGCAAAATACGGATTGGATTTACTATCTTCGTTGATCTTTAATTCGTCTACTTCAGTGTTATCCCTAATCAAGCCATATGTAGAACTCTTTTCTGATATTATGGAC